CTCTCGCGCTAACCCTAGTGCTGCACTCCTCCCTTGCCACCGCCACCTCCGGCGCCAGATCCTGGCTGCCGCGTCTCCCTCCGACCTCGCCGCCGGCGCTCCCGCCCTCTCCCCCTCCCTCACCTCCCCTCACATCATCGGAAGAGAAGAGGGAGATCGTGTGCGTGAGCAGGTCAGGCGGCGGCGCCGGCTCCCAGATCCGCAAGGGTTTGGACCTGGAGCTCCAACCCCATGGCAGCGGCGGCGGCTGCGGTTGACAGGTCCACCATGGGCCTGGACCTGGAGTTCCGTCTCCTCCATGGGGTCGGCTTCCAAATCCGCACCCCCATGGGTTGGACCTGGTGCTCCATCTCCATGGCATCGTCTGCTTCCGCTCGGCCGTCTGCATCCTTCTGTTGCTCGTCGAGGTAAGATATTCTCCCAATTTGCTCTTCCTTTCTCTTCCATTCCCTTACCTGATGCGTTGTGGATTCCCTCCCACCTCACGCAGAGCGCTGTGGTCGTTGTCGCGGAGACCTCCAGGCCCCGGCTTTGCTGCCTGGCGCGTTTTCAGGCCGTCGGTCATCCACCTCCCACTCTCTCTTTTTGCCCCCCGCTCGATCCCATCTGCCTAGGTGGTAGCTCTGCGTAGCATCTGGTCCTTGCCATGCTCTGTCTGTCTGTCTTTAGAGATGCTCTGTGTGTCCATCTTTAGATGATTTGATTTGCATCCTAGAATCAATTCATTTGCAATCCATTTGATGTTTTGAATTCATTTGCACAATTAGATCAAGAACAATTGCCACCAAAAAAACCTTGAGTGCTGCCTATGAATTGTCTCCTATGAAGAGGATGTAGCATCTCCACTTAATTCCCCCCCCCCCGCTCAATTTTTCTAACTGCATATATGTGCTGTGTGTACCCCTAGCCATTAAAAACTAGTTGTTAATTTCATTCGCTGCAGCCTCTCTTAAGGTAGCTCCCAGCTCTCACTTTCGTTTACTTGAATGTTTAGGGTGGTGGATGAACGAGACGAATGCATTGCGCTCCTAAGAAGATTCTGAACTGCCGAGGCTACCCAACTAGCTGCGAGTAGACAAGGGAGGCATGGCTTGGTTACTGACTGCGGTTACTGGTAAGAACCTTTTACATCCTGGTATAGCTCCAAGTGTACATTCACCATGGTTACTGCATGTGTATAAACCAGTTTTCAATGTACTAGCGACATGTTTTAGCAATTAAAGTTGCAGTTTCTATAACTGAAATGCTACAAAAATAGGGGCCAAAGTGGTAGATTGTTTCTTTTTGAGGGGCAAAGTGGCAGATTAGTAGGTACTGTAGTAAGTTGCTTATGTTGGTGTGGCGCACTGAGTCATGTTTCTTTGCACTAGAATTTTCAAAAAACACATGATTTTTTTAGGGGTGGTTGTCTGAACTGAATTGCTTAGAACTTTCCTATCTAAACAAGAGTTGCCATTTTTCAGTATAATATGATATTTCTGTGATGAGTAGTCGGATCATTCCTACAGACTTTTGTTCTTTGATTTGAAAATTGTAGCTCACATAGTACAACAGTTGGTGTTGTAGCTGAGCACCTTTCTTTTTCTTCAGTACAGCCACATGTTTTTTCTTTAGCTCTCAAACTGCAGCTTACATGGTTGTGCTTTCTTAGCTCTTAGCTTTCTCAGTTCTTAAAATCCAGCTCAAATCGTTGTGAAATTTATCCTAGATAGACATTCAGTATTGTTCTATCTAGTTCTACTCGGACAAGTTTCTCAGTTTCATTGATCCTCTCTTTTTCAGCGCGAGCGCCGACGCAGCAGGGCGGGGCTTGCTCGGCCCGTTCAGGCTACTCGTGATGGTCGACGACGGCCTGTTGGAGCAGACCGCTGTCTACTTCTACCTGGTCAAGGGTGCGGACGGGAAGCTCAGCACTCACTTCTGCCAAGACGCCTTCAGGTATGCACACATCGATCTTAAATCTGCACGCGCTTCTAATTACAGTGTACTGCGCCATGTTGTTTCAGTATTTTTGATGTAATAACATCTTTTCTTGTGGGATGGAGGGAGTGGCATCTATCTATCTTACCTTGCTGAGAAACTACTAGCCATCTCAAATCATGTTTGTCAGGTCATTGAAGGCGAACATTCTCGTCAAGGCCGTTTATGGCAGCTTCGTCCCTGTACTTGATGGAGAAAATCTGTAAGTGAGAATACTTTTCTTCAAGTAAATTCAGAAGTGTCAGTCGGCATATTAAGATTGATTGGTCTTTGACTCATCAGTTATTGATTTGATTTTGTCCTGGCGGGGCGCTACTAGGCCAAGCAGAACAGGAAGAATGTCATGCCGGCCCGCATCATCAAGATCACCATGGAGATCATACACCTACTCACCGATGCCAACCCCATATTCCATTCTCTCCTTCCTTGAGATAGATTGTATTATATGATGTCAGTTTAATGGATGAGAGTAGCAGTAGGATCGTATTTTTCTTCAGCTGCTGTCAATTTTCACTGTTTGCTGTTCCTTCAGATAGCTAGTATGAACTGGTTGCTTGCTTCTGTACCATGCTATCTATGGGTTATTACTTATTAGTATTGTTTATCCCGACCATGAGCTTGAATGGTGTAGGAGTACAACAACACCAGGTTAATTTGTAGAAGTGAGGTTACTGAATTTTTTCTATGCCATGGTACAATAATAATTCGAATGGTAGCCAGTTGACACGAGGTGTTTGGCCCAATTCCTGGTCTCTATTAGGGGGTACAATTTATTACTTTCTGTATAGATTTGTTAGCAATGGATGAACTGATCAGGGAAACAGTTCTGAGCTGATCTGAAGTTCTGAATTGGTCCAGCACATCTGAATTTGGAGTGCTTTCTGTACTGCAGTCAGTGCCTTAGCGCTATATGTTAGTTCCAGGCTGTTCGGCAGTTTTCTGCTTCTCTGCTGGTAGCTTAATTATAAGAATACAATTCTCACTAAATGTACTTTGCATTCTTACTGTATCTACTGTTGCCACAATCATTCTTGTACCAACTTATTTATCATAGCTAAACAATAAACTGTAGAGGCAATTTTGCAGCCTGTCAATGCCACCAGGATAACAATGACCCTTGCCCTGTTAATTTATAGTACAACTGCTCTGCTCTGCTCCTCAAGGTACCCTCATCTTTGATTTCTTCCCTTCAACTCTCTGATGCTGCTATCCTTCCTCGTGCAGGCACGCCCCGATGCTCCCCTTGGTCTGGGCACCCGATGCCAGGCAGGCTGTGGATGCCCCAGACCATAAGGCCGGCCGTGCTACTCTAGCTGCTCCTGCCCCGGCCATGCTCAACTTCGCTCCTGGTCAGTTGCCGCAGGTGAGACACTTGCCTCCATGCTTGGATGATTCTACCTGCTCACTTAGTATCATACTTGAATCTATGCATACATGGTACATATAATTTGACTTAGTTTTTGAAGTTTTACTTTGTGTTCTTATAGTTTTACTGAAACTGTAGAAATGACTGATGCACAAATTATTGAGAATAGAGAAGCAGCCTCAAGCTGCTGTTGCAACAACTGGAAACGATGTGTCTAAATTATTGAGAATATGTTCTTTGATTCAGTGCTGATGCACAAAAACCTTCTCTGCGATATATTAACTGGTCATATTCTACTTCTGTAGCTATACCTTCTCTGCGAGCCCATGACTACTCAAACAAAAAGAAAGAGGCTCTCAACTATTTGTTTATCCTGGTCCCTTTGATCAACGTAGTTTTACTGAAACTATAGTTGGTACTTCCTTAGTGTTTAGTACATGGTACATATAGAGCTGCGTACAGCAATTACAAGAGGCATTCTCTTGTTGATGTCATTGTCTCAATACCTTTGCACATGTAAAATATGTTGACAAAGTGTTAAGTTGGATTACCGCCTCATGTTGATGGCATTGTCTCTAAACATTTAATAATGTTTCTTTTTGGTGATCTGGATCAGGATCTAATGTTGTTTAGGCTGCTGCTGCTGTGACGGAAGATCAGAAGAGGCCTGGAGATGCGCACCACCGTTTTAGTTGATGTTGCACCATGTTTTGGTGCTTGTGTATCTGTTTTTGCTTGTAAGCACACTTGTATGTGCTTGTGTATCTGTTTTTGCTTGTTTTAGTTGATGTTGGACGTGCGGATTGTATGCGCTGTTGTGTGTATTTGGCTGAATGATTTCTAAATTTAATCATTTAATCAAGATAATTATTGAGTGTTTGCTGTTCAAGTGTGTAAACTGGAAATCAGTGAATAAAAAGACCAAATGGTCTATTGGACCAAATAATATATGGGCTCTAAAAAGGCTACGGCCCAAATAATAGTGGACTGGAACATTGTTTACTTCTGGGAAAGCTGAACAAAAAGGCTTAACGAAATGGTCTGCAAAAGGGCCATGGCCTAGAAAATTAAAAGGCCAAATTGTTGGGCTTGGCCCATGAAGTCGACCAAAAATTCACAGGAAAAAATATATAAAAAGGCTGAATTAATGGGCTCGGCCCATGTAGAAAATCGAATTGGACCAGGCTGAATCTTGTGCCACATCAGCTTGCCACGCTGGATGCCTACGTTGCCTGGGGGAGGTTGCTAGTGACCAAAACGCCACAGTAGGAATATTTTGGTCGTAAACGTCTTTGACCATTCCAGAAGAAAGGTCGCTATAGTCAGTTTACGACGCCCAACTTTTGACCTTCTATTTTTGGTCACAAAAAGGTCGTAAATGGAAATTTGTGACCTTTCAGTGACCAATAGTGGTGGTCACAAGTTGACATATTTCTTGTAGTGTACTTTATCGTCATGTTCACCGATTAGACTCTGAGTCAGCTCCAAACTAATGGTCAAACTTGAGTTTTTAAATGGTTGTGGGGTACATATCGGGGCCGCTATCAATAGTATCTATCTACTATCTGGTTAATCTCCGGTGTCTACTATGAGTTTCATGTTGGGTGGGAAACAAACAGTAAAGAAGCCATTATTTGTATTTTTTAACTGAAGTCATTATCTGCCTGCTATTATTGGTTTTGGGTCTATCCACAGGTTGCTACCATCACTCTGGATTTCTGCATGCACTCCTTACATAATCTCACTATGTTTTATTCCTATGAATGACAGTTATTGTAAACAATGGAACTGAACATGTAGAGAAAAAGAGACGAGCCTTGCGTGGCAATAAAATTTCATGCAGACGTCGCTCCATGGTAGGCACAAAGGCAGCCCCCCTCCACGCATTTTGGATTGTAATCGAGAGGAAGATATCTGTTCTGAGGGGGATTCAGAAGGACAAGACAACTCCTATTTACCCCCTGAGGTCTTCGCTCTAACTTGGCATGCTGATGTTGGTTATATCATGCATATGGTGTCTTGCATTGCTTACTTTATACATCAAATATGTCATCTGCTTAGTTTAGACATACTTTGTGCGAATGCCATCTGTTTAGTTTATTCATCGTTTATGTGAATTATGCAACTCCATCTTGTTTAGCCAGGCATCATATATGTGAATTTTGCAATGCCATCCTGCTTAGCCAGTCATCTTATATGTAAATTATATCAGGCCATCCTTTTTTCGTTACATATTACATTTGTCAACAATGTTAGTACATTCAACTGCTCTTCGTGTGCATCAGCCATTTGACACGGTGATGGCAAATTCTGGAGTGAAAACAAGGTCTTCAGAGCAGACTATGCTATCTGACGAAGCGCATATCTCACTGGTTACGGATAGCTCCTCAGAGGAGGATTCGGAGACAGATGACCAGTCCTATCCCCCCCCCCCGAGGTGTATGCTCTAACTTGGCAGGGTTATGTTGCTCATATCGTGTGTATGGTGTCTCGTATTGCTATGTGAGGGAGTCCCGGACTAGGGGGTGTCCGGACAGCCGGACTATCGTCACGGCCGGACTCCAAGACTATGAAGATACAAGATTGAAGACTTCGTCCCGTGTCTGGATGGGACTTTGCTTGGCGTGGAAGGCAAGCTTGGCGATACGGATATGTAGATCTCCTACCATTGTAACCGACTCTGTGTAACCCTAACCTATCATGTGTCTATATAAACCGGAGGGTTTTAGTCCGTAGGACAACATCAACAATCATACCATAGGCTAGCTTCTAGGGTTTAGCCTCCTTAATCTCGTGGTAGATCTACTCTTGTACTACCCATATCATCAATATTAATCAAGCAGGAGTAGGGTATTACCTCCATCGAGAGGGCCCGAACCTGGGTAAAAACATTGTGTCCCTTGTCTCCTGTTACCATCCGCCTAGACGCACAGTTCGGGACCCCCTACCCGAGATCCGCCGGTTTTGACACCGACATTGGTGCTTTCATTGAGAGTTCCTCTGTGTCGTCACCGATAGGCCCGATGGCTCCTTCGATCATCAACAACGACGCGGTCCAGGGTGAGACTTTTCTCCCCGGACAGATCTTCATGTTCGGCGGCTTTGCACTGCGGGCCAATTCGCTTGGCCATCTGGAGCAGATCGAAAGCTACGCCCCTGGCCATCAGGTCAGATTTGGAAGTTTGAACTACACGGCCGATATCCGCGGAGACTTGATCTTCGACGGATTCGAGCCGCAGCCAAGCGTGCCGCACCGTCTCGATGGGCATGATCTAGCTCTGCAGCCGAACAGTGCCCTGGAGGCCGCACCAGTATCCGCTCCGACCCTTAATCCGGAGCCGGATTCCTCGATCAAGGACGAGTGGTTGGACACCGCCTCGGGGGCTACAATCTCTACGGCGATCGAGCCGAACTCCATCCCTGTCCTTTGCGAAGACCTCGACTCCGGGGTGCCGGACTCCTCTCCGGACTCCGAACCCTCTGCGCCCCTGCCAATCGAATCCGATTGGGCGCCGGTCATGGAGTTCACTGCCGCGGACATCTTTCAGCACTCGCCCTTTGGCGACATCCTAAATTCACTAAAGTCTCTCTCTTTTTCCAGAGAGCCCTGGCCGGACTACGGACAGGAAGGTCGGGATGCGGACGACGAAGAAATTCAACACCCACCCACCACCCACTTTGTAGCCACTGTCGATGATTTAACCGACATGCTCGACTATGACTCCGAAGACATCGACGGTATGGACGACGACGTCGGAGACAACCAAGACCCAGCGCCTACAGGACACTGGAAGGCCACCTCGTCATATGACATATACATGGTGGACATCCCGAAAGATGGGAACGACGATGGAACAACGGAGGATGACCCCTCCAAGAAACAGCCGAAGCACCGACGTCAGCGGCGCCGCTCTAAATCCCGTCACAATAAAAACGGTGATTCCGGCACGGGAGACAATAGCACTCCGGACAGTGCCAAAGAGAACCCCCTCCGGCAGGACTCAGCACAGGAGGACGGAGAAGCAAGTCCGCACGACAGTGCGGCAGAAAGATAGGTCGAGGACGATAATTATGCGCCTCCCTCCGAAGATGAGGCAAGCCTCGACAACGACGAATTTGTCATGCCTAAGGATCCCGCCGAACAGGAGCGTTTCAAACGCAAGCTTATAGCCACGGCAAGCCGCGTCAAGAAAAAGCAGCAGCAGCTTAGAGCTGATCAAGACCTGCTAGCTGACAGATGGACTGAAGTCCTTGCAGCCGAAGAGTATGAACTTGAACGCCCCTCCAAAAGCTACCCCAAACACAGGCCGTTGCCTCGACTAGAGGAGGATGCACCCAAGTCACCAGCGCACGACATGGCAGACCGGCCACCCCGTGGCCGTGACAGAGAAGCCTTTCGGCCCTCCACTCAAGCCACACCCCAACGCCACTCAAAAAGTACCAAGGCAAGGGAAAACGTGCCAGACTTGCGAGACATATTGGAGGATAAGGCAAAACATACAAGATCGATCTACGGATCGCGTGTGCGCCCAGCAGCACGGGATGATTACCGTCGCGCCGGATACAGCAAAACCGGCCAGGCCAAACACAGTAGACAAAGCTCATATGAGCTACGTCGTGACATAGCCCAATACAGAGGCGCCGCACACCCACTATGCTTCACAGATGAAGTAATGGATCATCAAATCCCCGAGGGCTTCAAGCCCGTAAACATCGAATCATACGATGGTACCACAGATCCTGCTGTCTGGATCGAGGATTATCTCCTCCATATCCACATGGCCCACGGTGATGATCTACATGCCATCAAATACCTCCCCCTGAAGCTTAAAGGACCAGCTCGGCATTGGCTCAACAGCTTGCCAGCAGAATCAATTGGTTGTTGGGAGGACCTGGAAGCCGCATTCCTTGATAACTTCCAGGGCACATATGTGCGACCACCAGACGCCGATGACCTTAGCCACATAATTCAGCAGCCAGAAGAATCGGCCAGACAATTCTGGACTCGGTTCCTAACAAAGAAAAATCAAATCGTCGACTGTCCGGATGTAGAGGCCCTTGCAGCCTTCAAATATAACATCCGTGACGAGTGGCTTGCCCGACACCTAGGACAGGAAAAGCCGAAATCTATGGCAGCCCTCACAACCCTCATGACTCGCTTTTGTGCGGGAGAGGACAGCTGGCTGGCTTGAAGCAACAACTTGGCCAAACATCCTGATAGTCCGGATACCAAGGACAACAATGGCAGGTCGCGTCGCAACAAGAACAAGCGCCGCATTAACGGTGATAATACTGAAGATACAGCCGTCAATGCTGGATTCAGAGGCTCTAAACCCGGTCAACGGAAGAAGCCATTCAAAAGAAATACGCAGGGCCCATCCAACTTGGACCAAATACTCGATCGCTTGTGCCAGATACTTGGCACCAACGAAAACCCAGCCAATCACACCAACAGGGACTGTTGGGTGTTCAAGCAAGCATGCAAGTTAAGTGCCGAACTCAATAACAAGGGGCTGCATAGCGATGACGAGGAAGAGCCCTGGCCGCTGAACAATAAAGGACAAAAGGGTTTTCCTACGCAAGTGCGGACGGTGAACATGATATACGCAACCCACATACCCAAAAGGGAGCGGAAGCATGCACTAAGGGACGTATATGCAATGGAGCCAGTCGCCCCAAAGTTCAACCCATGGTCT